TAAGTCATCCTGCACCAATTCAGCCTGAAGCAACTGCAACTTGATCCAATTTCACTTTTTCATGTTTGTGTAACTTAGTGTCAGTGAACACTTTAATTAGGCTTTTGAGTATTAGTCTTAATGAACACTAACTTAGGCTTTGTTATATTGGTGACAAAGAACAAATGTCCTTTGGTATCAGTGCCCTTTTGTATCAATTCCCTTTTGTACCAGTGTCAAGAACACATGCTATTATATTGCCTTTTTGTATCAGTGACAAAAACACATGCTTTTATAAAGCAACATATTTTGTTAAAGCAATAGTCATCAACTTGTTCTTTATAATGCAGAACATTTTTTTAAAACAATATTCAATGGACGATATGTTATCATGGAACCATAACAGACCAGTTATAAAACAATATTTTTGTTAAACCAATATTTTGTTCAACTATATGTTATCATAGAACCATAACAGGCCAGTTATAAAACAATATTTTTGTTAAAGCAATATTTTTATTAAGGCTTAATCATACCATAACAGACCAGCAATATCATACCATAACAGAAATGCTTAAACATTGGATAACATTTATAACATTCAACCCATTTCATTTAACCAAAATCAAACATTTATTCATTCATAACATCAAATTACATGTTGTGTTGCTCACAAATCTATTTTAAATACATTGTTACAAGAACTATATTAAACCCTAAACTAATAATGCCAAACAAAATTGCATTTTTCAACGTTCCTCTTGTGCTCAAAACTTCATTCTTCAACTTGAATATTTTATTCTTTTGCCTTTCAATCTTCAAATCCCTTCCATCAACAACTTCATCTCCTATCCACTTGAAAAAATTGCATTCCTTCTCCAGTTGATTTTTGTAATTTCTACAACCCCAAACTTTTTCCCAACATTGACATTATTCAAATCTGTAACAGTACGCATTACACACTCTTCTTCACACCAACACTCCATCCTTTTCTTTCTTATCACAACAGATCTAAATGACTCATAACTATGGATGTTTGATTTCGATTTGTTGTTAGAGTTTATTGACATGTTCACATATGATTGAAGAAGGGGAAGAAGATGATGAATAGTAACCTAACGTGAAAATATTACGTTGGATAAAGAATGAGGTTACACGGTTAATATAATGCAATATGTTGAGTCACAAATGAATATCAAATCTTGTTGACATGCCACATCACCGTACTTAACATTTTCACTACAAAACTAACAGAATGGATCAAGTTGTTTAACGAAACGATTGCTAAGGGATTATACTGTAATGCTTATTACATAAGGGATCAAAGTGAAAACCGAAATTAAGTTAAGAGACTTCAGGCTAAATAAGCCATAAAATTAGTATCTTTTACTTAGATACTCTTATTTATTATAATTAGTGAAATAATTAAAAAAAAACGTGAAAGTTAATAAATAGGGGTATAGAAATGAAAAAAAAATATATTGTATTTATTTTGACATAGAAAAAGTACAAACGAGACATTTTTTATAAGACAGAATAAATATTTTTATCGTTTTAAAATTGACTGTCATTTTAATTAATAAATTTTATTTTAAAATGAATTTCATTTTTAATTTTTAATGTATAAATAACTATTATTTTTCAATTCTACTTTAGTTATTACTATTTATACTATTTATAATTTTAATTTACTAAAAGTTTAATATCATGTGGGATTGAGTCATTAGATAAGAAATTGACTTACACACTAAAAAGTCGTAAATTCAATTTCATCTCTTTAGTGAGTGTGTTTGGTAAGTGTTTCTATAAAAAAAATTAAATTACAACCATTTAAAATCGGAAAGAGTATTTGTAAAGCCGTGAATTATTATTTCCGGATAGGCTCTGTGTGAGGGAGGAATATGAAATGAATCTGCATCTTGTGTTTGGGGAATTTTTCTCTTTTCTGCCATAATTTTAGGGGTTAATTTCTAAAATGCCATAGTTTTCAATTAATATACTAAATTATCATGTTTTCAAAAAAATCTCATTTTTGGTTGAACACTTCCTCCTTTTCAATGGGCGGCAGAGTGTAATCCATGTTTTTCTTTTTCGTTTTATTTTTTATATTTTCTTAAATATTATTACTAATTTATATATTAATATTAATAATATTAGTAAATTAATAATAATAATTATTAAATTAGTAATAATAATTAATTTATTAATAATTATTATTAAATTAGTAGTAATAATAATTTAATTAGAAATAATAGTTATAAAAAAGATAATAATAATAAAAAATAAAATATTACGTAAAAATAAAATAAAATAAATTATTTTAAAATAGTACTAATTAAAATAAAATAGTACACTGAAATATATGATAATATTTATAAAATAAAATACAATAAAAGAACTAAAATAAATAGTTATTAATTTTTGAAATTAAATATGTACATTAAAATTCCTATTCATCCTTAATTAATTTCGACCCAGTCGACGTAAGTGGTGGTTCCACAGGCAGGAGGTTGTATATTTCTGGTGGACCAGGAATGTCTTGTTTAATTCCGAATTGGAGTTTCACCCTATCTGAATGATGCATTTCAACATAAGTGAAAGACAATATAAATGTTGTAGAACTCCACATATCGCTTTCAGTTAGATCCTCATCTTCAAATTCAAGATAGGGTCTCCATAGAAACTATAATATAATTAAAAAGGGATTAGAGAAAAAAAAATGGAAAGTGCTAGTAGAAAAATATGGGATTAGAGACAATACATCATCTTCCTCAAAATGATCGAAGAACGTCCGATACCCAAAAATACAATGCGGAATTTTTTCGTAATTCATCTCATACGCGGACCACATTAGTTAATGATATCAATTAATATAAACAATGTATTAAAAAGTATAAATTAATATTATACGTTAATTGATTATAATAATATATATTAATATTATTAATATATATATTAATATATATATATTAATATTAATAATATTAATATATAATAATAATATTAATATTAATAATATTAATATATAATAATAATATTAATATTAATAATATTAATATATATTAATATTATTAATATTATTAATATTAATATTAATATTATTAATATAAATTAGTAATAATATTTAAAAAGAATTAAAAAATAAAACGAAAAAAAAAAAATGCTATGTACATAACCGTCCATTTAAAGTGCGGTTGACTTTTTCATTACACTCTGCCGCCCATTGAAAGGGCGGAAGCCTTCAACCAAAAATGAGATTTTTTTGGGAAACATGGCAATTTGGTATATTAATTGGAAACTATGGGATTTTGGAAATTAACCCCTAAAACTATGGCAGGAAATAGAAAAATTCGTGTTTGTGTCCTACCTAGCTTACATATGTGGCCTATGCTATGGAAATTTTCCCTTGTTAGTCCAATTATGCATGTTGCCATGTGGTATAGTACAGTACATCATTCACAGTTATATTTCTATAAATAGTGAGACAAAACAAACATGGTTGGAATTGGAAGATACTTCAGTTTTTTCACTTTTAACACTATGATCAAATCATGACTTCACTAAGGAAATTTCAAGATCAAAATCATGACACTTTTTTTTACAACACTTTCATGCCAAATCACGACACAATTGGTTGTATTTGTGTACTTCCTCCGCTTCCATAACCAAGATTAATCAAAAATAGATTTACATATCATATTAACTAATAAATCTACATATCTATTTTCTTCTCGAAATATGTTGATAATTTGTACATTTCAATCCAACTTTAATAACTCTCAAATCTTCTTCACAATACTTCACCCTTTAAACTACCAATAATTAGTAATGACACTCTATCAAATCAGTATTGAATTTAGTTAGAAGTTCCAAATCCATGACATCAAATCTTCTAACTAAACACATGCCTTCATAAAAGATCCCATAATTTTGTCATATATGTTGAAATATGATCCAAATAACGAGTAAATTCTACAATACACTTGTCATTGTTATCACGAATAATACCACCACAACCTACAACATGTCTATTCATCTTAGCAATGCCATATGAATTCAAACGTGTTCACTCATACATTGGAGTATCAATTGTTTGTTTAAAAGTGCTCAAACAATGTAATTGTTTTTTTAAAAGTGCTATTTTTTTTTTGTTACATACTGTCATGGTGATGACTATTTTTCTTTGACAAATCTGAACGAACACCTTTAAGAAAGTTGCTATCAAGCCCAAAAACCTAAAAGGAAAATTGAAGTTTCATCTTACTTGCTTTATAAGGCATGTGCGCAATCTAGAACATTCAGAAACAAATTACAACAGGAACTGTTATTTTCATTGCTTAACTCATCAGAAATATATGAATGCAAGTATCAAGTATCTTTATTTAACTCACAAGTCAGAATAGGACTATGCAAGTACTTAACTACAACCTTGGTTAATAGAAACATTGATTTGCACAATTAACAAAGAGAAAATCTGAAGAAAAGAATCAATACATTATTTATTAATTTTCAAAAAAGATTATGTACAAATTAATTATTTAACCACCCAAAATTGTCCCCTCCATCACCACAAGCCATGTCATCAAACCTAACAATATGATTATATTGGTAATACCCGGAATTTCATCAAGATCAGTTGCAAAATGCTGGCAAAGGAACCCAGAATTTCGAGCTGCCTCGTCAAGTTGTCTCTATGGTGACAGACAAAAGGGTGTGAGAGGGAAAATCACTTGTATGTAACTTGATAAGCTAATAATCTAATATCTCCTTCCCAGCTCGAAAATGAAAAATGTCCCCATGCAACTTGAGAATCTGGCACTCCCTTCTTTATGTGACAAAACTGGATATGGAATCACCTTGATCATCAGAGGCAGCTCAGTTGGTGAGTCGAGAGACACTGAACCGAAGGAGTACTAACCACGAGGTTCATGGTTCAAACTCTAGAAACTAACATAACTCACTAACATTTGTCTATCCAAAAAAAACCTTGATCATCGGATAGCCAGCCATGCCGATTGAGCTCATCCATTATGACCCTCCATGAGATCACCAAGTGTTATTTTTCCAAAGTTGCCGGCATCTAGTCTATCAAATTTCTCACTGATCAGAATGATGTCCTTCTCTGTCACTTTTCCCATCTCCTTTAGCTTGTATATAACATATTCTGATTTGCTGCATACCCAAAATCTTAATATATTCAGCGAATGCACAAGATATATGTGTTATGAATTTCAATCAAAATAAATTAACAATTCTTTCAAGGATGAAAATTATAGAACATGATACAAACACCAGAAGAGAAACAATAATGCTGTTGTTAAGGACATGAAACAAAGCAACACACATAGGGAAAGTACTAGTGTCATAAGAATCTGATATACGGTATACGCGCAATAAACCTAGATATCCAGGGAAGATCCTGTATCTTTTTCTTTTTCCATATAAAAGGTTTTACTGACTGATATGTATAGGACAAGGCACTTAAGCAACTAAATTTGTCATTATGACTCGTTTATATTTACAATCTGCATGTAAGATGACTAAATAACTTGATTCGTTTGAGAAAAGACTATTAAGATCCAAATGCTGGATAATATTATAATATAACTTGCAGCTTTTCTTATTCTGCCTTTACTATTAACTTTAGGACTTTCCTTCGTCGAGTTTAAGTTTATCTTCCTTAATGGGTGTTTCATGGATTCTATCCATGTATATTCAAACCTCTAACTAAAAGGATTGTATCATATGAATAAAAAATAACAAAATGCACATTGAATGGAAAAATTGTGCCAGTGAAATCCTATAGAAACATCCACTCAAAACCCTCTTATTAGCATTTCACTCGGAACTAACCACCGAACAGATATTAAAACTGTTAAGAGTCCTATGTTCTTAAGATGGTATCAGAGTCCGGTTTAAAATCTATTGGGCCACCTGCTATCAGGTTTCTCATATCAGCCACCCACCATTTATATTCACGCTCCAAAAGTCCATCCTGGGCGTGAGAGGGTATGTTAAGTGTTTCACATCGGAAAATATATGGCCTAAACATCGGTTTATAAGTGAGGACAATCCTCATCTTACAGGCCGGTTTTATAAGGTTGAGTTAGGCCCAACTACGATTCTTAAGAGAAACGTTATCAAATGTTAAAGACAATCAGTAGGCATCACCAGCCACCAATGCCGTTTACTGCAAATTAAGAAATTACAGTCTTGTCTGAAAATTGTTTATATAGCATTAAACACCTAAACAGCTGCAAAATAAAATTGATGAATCTTAACGAAAAGCCTTTCATATGAGCATTATACTTCTAAATTGGAATTAAAATTATGAAAACTTACATAGAGCATTAGAGACAGAAAGATGCATGATAAAGGATATAAAAACTGCCAAAGTTATAGGGTTTCTATGCTTCAGATATATTTTTATATATTCTAACATTCCCCCTTCAAGCTAAAGCTTATTAAATTTTTAAATGAAAATGAATATATAATTAGGGATCCGAACATGGCTAGAAAAGGCAACTCAGGGACATGGGAGACGCTAGAGAGATGAACATTATGGGAAAAAAAAAACTTAGCAAGATGATGGTTGGAGAGATCATCAACATAAAGAACTGGTCGGTATGAAGCCTAAGCCATAACCTCAATGATAAAACTTCTTTGCCTCTTCCCTCAACCCTTGTGGTGCCAACACTTTGCCTAATCGTCATAACTAACTACTCCGAGTCCCTGGGTTGTTCTCCATGTGTCCCTTCCTTTTGGCTCCTAAAGTATACTGTTAACCCCTCAACTTTACCGTTTAACTTCCGAACCTCCAATATGCCCTTATCCTTGGGATTATTGGACTCAAAGGTCTCATCACAATCATAAACACAGCAAGGATTAAAACTTCCCCAAATCCACCATGAACAACATTTAGAAGCCTTACAGCATAAGAAAATTTAGTATATACCAATAATAAATTAATAATAACAGAAATTGAGACCATGTCTCATCTGTATCACAGCCATGGATAATTCATCAGGGCATGGCTTATCAATAAGATAGGAGAAATCACCATTGGTATAACTCACAACGGGACATTGATATGAAGTATATAGCCAAGGCCATTCTACAACTAAAATAGTTCAGACCAGATTGAATATGGAATAATTGGGACTTGAGATCAAACTTCATTTGGGACAGTCAGATTCAAATTTTATCCAAGATATTATCTAAAGGTTTTGAGACATGCAGAAGCAGAAAAGCAAAATAATAAGGTTAACAAAAAGAGAACTTGTGACAAAAATTGATTTTGAATGAATTGATTCTAGAAAATTGATTCTGGCTAAAGGTGAGTTGAAGATCAATTGGTTTATGTTTGGATACATTCACATAAAAGGGAGTTGAACAATAAAATTTAGCCTTCTAACATTAGACCTCCAAATGTGGTAATCCTACCAACGAAAAACAAAATATACAACGAACCACTAACTAGAACTGAATATACTGCTTTTAGGAGGTAAAGTTAAAAAAGAAAGTTCATCAACCTACAAGTACTACAAGACAGAGTAGTCATTCCCAGATAGCGGCGTGGAGCGGCCGACCCTAAAAGTGGGATAGTGGGATAGCGTATAGCATAATGACTGCTCTATTGATCATTTTTTGGACGATTTACAGATAATAATTATAAACATATATTTAATGTAAAATTAAACAAATAACTCAACTCATAAAGTATTCATAAATCAAAGCGCACAAGACTCTTGAAGTGCATAAACGACTACGAAGAAAGATTAAGATTGAGTGTCAACTCAAATTTGATTGAAAAACCCAAAGTTACCCTTAAAACATTGTCACCTTAAGGGGTAATTTTGGTTTTAGAGGGGAAAAGGATAGTGGACAAGAAACTGCTCGAGGCCGGGAACCCCTCTGCTCTGCTATCCCGTTATTTACCCTATAGCGGCCGCTATACTATTCTGCACCGTTGAGGCTCTTCCCATAGCGGTCAGCCTCCGCTCTGCTCTGCTATAGCGGGATAGCACCGCTATTGGCCACTATTGACTAATCTGCTACTACACACAATAATTAATTGCTGCCAACCTTAAAACAGGGAAGTTGATCTAATCCCATCTATGACAGACTATGAATCAATTCACTTTCTATTGCCCTGTCAAATTTTCAACTTCATCCTCAACATACTTTTTTCTCTCAAATACCGGCTCTAAAGCCAGTTTTCATAAACCAACGAGACTATCGCATTTTCCGTAGGCTATGCAAAATTACAAACATTCTAGTCCTGAATTCTAGGAGAGGTAGAAAGCATAGACAACAGAGAAACACTAGATACAAAGTTATTTCATATGCAAAGTCATTTCAAGTTCTACTTTCACAGACAGAAACTTCTATTGGTATATAAAATAACTTACATTTATGCAATGGAATAAACATATTGATCCATACCTAACAAATCCGTTGTTGTCTATGTCAGCAGCAAGAAACTCAGCAACAGTCATGTCCTGACCAAGAATCCACTTTGCCATCCTCCTATGTCGCTTATCCACTCTCGCCTCAGCCAAATAAAGGAAAGCTCGGGCAACCGCAAGCGTAGACACGAGCAACCAAATTGCAGCAAAGATACGGCCATGCAAAGTCTTGAAAGCATGATCACCATACCCAACCGTTGTAACAGACATAACCGAAAGATAAAAGGAATCTACCCACCCAAGACTTTCCACAAAATGCATAACCACAACACCAACTCCAATACAAAGTACCACAACCCCCAATGCCAATGCCACCTTCATCCTAATCCTCATCCTACCTTTCTTCACATCAACTATGTACGACTTCCCCTCCTTCGCACCCCTTCCCTTCACTGCCCTCAACAAATGATTCTCTTGCAAATCAAGAACATAACTAACCATTCCACTTAGCAATATATCAACAAAACCAAAACCAATCAACACAAACAATATAGAGAAAATCTTGGTTGCAGTACTGTTCGGCGTAATGTCACCGTATCCAATTGTGCACATTGTGACTATACAAAAATACAATGCATCTACAACAGGATGAGTCTCCGTTGCTTTAAAACTATGACGATTGAACCAATAAATAACAACCCCTAAAGCCAAATAAAGAACAAGAAGAATAAAAGCTTGATGAACAATAGATTGGCTACCAAATTGAGGTCTTTTCGCAGTTGGATGATTGAAATCACTGAGAACCGCCATAGCCGGTGCAGTTTTGGAGCGATGCAAATTGGTTTTCCGCCATGGATAATTAGGGTCAATAAGCCAAGAAGATAATTGTTGTTGTTGAGACAGTTGCGATGATGAATCACAAAGTGTGGGTGTTGCTGACGCAAACTCGTGTGAAGAGGAACAAATGGAAGATTTTTTGGGAGAATTACGCGAAAGTGTTAAGGCATCCGCCAAAGGTGAAGGGTCTATCGGGGAAGCACATGAAGGTCCAAAAATGAGACGATCCTTGAACTCAGAAGGGGTAACAGTAAGAACCATTTCATCATTCTCCGGTAAAGGGAAAAGATGAGAAGGCAATGGGGAAAGCCGTTTTCTAGGGCTGATATATGGAAGAAGTGGCTCCTTTTCCATGTGGGGTGGTGGAAAATCGATTGAATAGAAAGAAAAATTGTGCTTTTAAGGATCAAACAGTTTTTTTCTGATGTGGGTCGGGTCCAGAACATGGGGAGATTATTAGATTATGCATAAGAATTTCGAATGTTTTGATTTTAACGATGATCATGCAGAGTGGTGATGAAATTTAGCATGATTTGATTTGATTGCAGTATGATGATTTCATTTCCTAGGTAGAAAAAAAAAACGGGGACGGTGTTGTTGACGTTGTTTGTAGGGTTGAGGACGATAATGTTTTTGTTTAACTTATTATGTTATTTTGGTGCCGTTCGTTTTATGGTTATAGTCACGCGCTTATGAGTGGCGCGTGAGATAAAAGTGAACCGTGTGATATGGGTTTGGAGAGTGAGATTTGAAGATGGTGGTGTGAATAATGATGAATGGTGCAAAGAAAGTCTAAAATTATTGTAACATACTATAAGAGAAGAATATGAATATTGAGTTGATAAAAATAATAAAAGAGATGGTCATAGGCATGTTGTGACACAGTCCAATGTAAAGAGCATTAAATAGGATGGAATGCGACCCAGTCCAATGTAAAGAAAAATTGGGGACATACATTAATCAAGATATATATAGGCATAGTTTGAATAAACAATTATTTGGAGTTTATAGTATAAGTATTTATCAAAATAAATGTTTAAGAATAAATTTGTATGTGTAAATTACTTTTATAACAAAAATAAAATAAATTTTAATTATTTTTAAATTATAAGGTTTTTTTACATGAAAAATAGTTTTTGACTTGTGAAATACATTTATTTTTCAATTACTCAATGATATTAAAATAATAATATTTTATTATTTCCTATTCTGATATTTCTTTTTTAATAATTTTGAAATTGATATTTACCTCATTTAATTTTTCTTATAGGAAATATAATATTGAAAGGAAAAAAATTATTAATGATTTTTAATTGTAAAATAATTAATACTATTTTACTTATGATTTATTATATTTAATTAATTATTGTTTATATATGTACATATTGAAATTTTAGAGTTATTTGGTTAAACTTAAAGTGATTTTTTTTTCTAACAAATGAATTGGTAATTTTATTTTTCTTATCTCTTTGTTCACTTTTTAAAGTAATTTATAATAAATTTCTAATTATTTTGTTTAAAATATTAATACTTAACATATGATTTTGTTTACTTTTAATTTATAATATAATTGTTTATTACAATAAGTGTTTATGAATAAATTATGTTTATAACAAAAATTAAAAAATATATATTTTATTTTTATTTTTATTTTTAATTAAGATTGTAAAGTTTGTAGTTTTTTAATATGGAATAGAGAAAGATTTTTTTTTATATGGAGTAAAAAAAACAAATTATATGGGCCTTTAATCCTTTTCAATTTGGGTCTTGAGACATTAAGGATAATCTTCAATCGAAACTCGGTTATCATACTGTATAGCTTATCGAGTAAGGATGTGAGTTGCCACTTTGTCTGTCTTCCCTTGTGAAAAACCCTATCCTAATGAAAACCTTTAATCTTCTTCCTAATCTCCTTCATGATTTTGTCGGCTTCTGTTTGGTGGTCTTCATTGTTGTCAGCTAAAGTATCATTCTCTTATTGTTTGTTTCAAAATACACCTCCATAAAACAACAATCTATGGCAAAATCAACTCTTTTGCATAGCGTCATCGCTTCCACTGTTGTGGATTTATCATTCTCTTTCATCCATATGGTCTCAACCGCCATAGTTTCACCATCTTTATTCCTAAATAGAATCCATAATCCATGGTTCCCTTTGTTAACAAACGAAACATCAATATTGCACTTTGCCCAATCCTTTTTCAGAGGCTTCCATCGTTGGGTATTTGTTCGATCTTTGGTGTTTTTGTTGTTCAGGTTCGTGTCGTTCGTTCTCTTTCGGTTTGTTCATTTGATTACGCTTATCATGAAGTTGATGCTCATTTTGTTTTTTTTGTTATTGTTCTTTTTCATGTCTCTAAAATCCTCACTTGAGACCATGTTCTTCTTGATTATCGAGCTACTCATCTTCGTCGTTGTGAGTTTGTTGTTGACTTTCATATACCCCTCATTTCTTTGAATTTGGGTTTGCAAGTATAAAGTGCACCTAAGAGAGGGTGAATTATGTGTTTTAAAATTTTCTAGATTTTAGAGTGAGCATTTCTTTATTTTCTAGTTAATGGTTAGGTGATGAAAGTAGTAAAGTTCATAAGATAAAGAACATCGAAAAATTATACTAGTTCCCCTTACAATCCGAGAGTCCGTCTAGTCCCCTTACACATTGTAAGAGATTTAAATATTGTTAGAACTTTGTATAAGCCTATACCTAGATTTTATACACAAGCTTCTAACTTAATCACCAAGGAAAGCCACCTTCTGATTTTACAACACATAAAAACAAAAATATTTTCTTTTTCCAACCCTCTTGTTTTCAACAATCCTGAACAACAAGATACCGACACAAATATTGAGTTTTTGATACAGATAAGTTTTGTGCAGCATGATAGAATAAATCATTACTTGTATAATTTCTTCCCTTTCAAAAATATGGTATATCACAATATACTTTTAAGTGCTTAAGAACTTTCAGGTTATTTGAATTTGAAAATACTGCAGAAGTTCTTGAAGATTGAAAATGACACATGCAGGTACAGTGAAATACTTAGGAAAGAAATTTTTGAAAGAGGTGTAATTGATCAGAGAAAATACTTCTTATTTATATGGCCACTTACACCTTTTGAACCAAAACATAGCTCTTGATAAATTTATGATAAGGTGTGACTTTTATGTGAAAGGATACAAATGAAAATGCCATGAAAAGATGCAATGCACAAAAGTATTTTTCTTAAAATCATTGGTGTCAATCGATTGAGAGGGATGGTCAATCGATTGATCCTTCAATACAATTGAAAAAGATTTAAATTTTACCTAGTGTCAATGGATGATGACAAAACAGTTCATGATGGTTATGCTTGCTTGACAAAAGTAGAGAGTTGGATAACTCATCCTTAATATATATATATATGAATCTTGCTAAGGTTAAGTTTATGTGATTTACCATGTATTAAAAGAGATTAGGCACAAACAACACAAGCATACATGAAGAAACCTCTCTCCCCCTTTTGACACGATCAAAAAGAATAAAAATATGGGTAAATAACTAATATATGAAAGATAATAATATTAAGAATAAGAGACATTCATAATAATTTTTAAAAAACTACATATATTTCATTACTTCAAACATAATTCATCATAATACATAACTTTAAACCATAAGCAAACATAATGCGTAATTAAGTATTAGTACATAGTGAAATCAAGAAAGAAAACATATGACAACAAACATAATACATAATAAAAGGACAAGGTACTAGACTAGTCTTGGTTTATAAAGTTGTCTTGGTTCATATTGTCTTGGTCTTCATGCGCTTGTGATAACGCGAAAATGTACCTTATGATTGTCATATTTCCATTAATTAATTGTATGATTTAAACTCGAATTCCTATTATTCTGCAAGTTTACAAGTGTTTTTCACAGACATTTCATTCTCAAGCTAAAGATGAGCAGGACATAGAGAAGCGCGTAAGGAAGCGACAAAAAGAGAAGGAAAAGCCAGAAAACCAAAGAACGCTGGATTTTGGAGGTATGACGATCGTCACAGTCCATCATGACCGTCACAAGCGTCACGCCTGTCACAGCATGGCCACGATCGTCACGGTCCTATTATCAGTCATAACGTTAACAACAGAAACGTGGCCACGAAGGGGAGAGAATTTTGGCATGATCCAATATGCCCTCCCTGAGAATTCTCTCCCTCAACTTATTTTCCTCCGACATTTCCTCTAGCAACCTCGTATATAAAAGGAGAGCAATTGGACCTGAAAACGGGAGCTTCATTCTACGTACCAAATTGCTGCCAAAATTCTGGCGAAGCCATTTTCCATTTTTATTGTTTTTTTCCTTTCCTTTCCCTTTAGTTCAGAGTATTATTATTTCATTCTGCACTTTTATTTCACCATAGTAGAATCTTGTCGACATTGTGGAGGACTACTCGATAATCCAGTATCAGTAATACTTACAGGTTCTTATTAATCAAATACTTATTTTATTATGCAGTATGCATGTTATATCATTTTACTGTTTATATTTATTTATGATTGCATTAGTTAACATGTTGAGCTAAACTGATTATATCGGTATGTAATCCAATTAGTAGGACGGGATTCGATAATATCTGGTGCGCCTTTCCTTTTTACAAACGATTTTTCTGGTCGTAGTTTTTAAATCTAATTTTCTAAATAACCTTTGTCAAGAAAGTGAGAAGCTATTTACAACGATTTTGCCATGAAAGTGGGAAATTTATTAAGGTTCGAGCCGACACGCGAAAGCGTGGGGTCCGAACCGGATAGTAAAAAATAGGCATTAATTTTAAACACAGTGAGAGCGCTTTAGAACTAATCAGAATTTATTTATTTTCAAAAAGTACTTTTAACCCCGAATGGGACAGCGAGAGCGTACATTCTGCCTTAAAATTACGACCCGAGTCAATAACCAGCATGAGGCAAAGGTCTTTAAACGAGTATTTTCTCATGAAAAGTATTTGCAAAAGCTAAAAAGCATCGGTGACCTGTCGAATCCCCGATAATTAAGGCATTACATATCGATATCCCTTATCGATATTTTTAAAGCTTATAACTTTTATTTCCTTTGCATCCCATAACTTAGCATCTATTTTTCTAAAAACATTTTTCGCCTTAGCTAAACATAGTAACAACCGATAGCACTAGTTTGATTACCAGTCCCTGTAGGATCGATATCTTTATTACTACACGATAGACTGTGCACTTGCAGTTAGTACCGCTAGACTCAGAAAGTCGTGATCAAGTTTTTTGCGTCGTTGTCCAGGACTCGTTTAGTCAATAGTGTAATTCTCTGTTACTCAGTATAGACTAAGGCAACCATTTTATTTCCC